GTGATTGGCTGATTAGAAATTAAGTGTTAACGAGCAGTTGGACAGGTGTACCTAATAAAGTGGCCGGTGAGTGTACGTACATACATACTGTACATACATACATACAAACATACACCCACAATCATGGTGGTGCTCCATGTCAGTTCTGCTCCATGCTTCTTTCTTGTTCTGCAACATGTATAAAAATGTGGGCAAGTTAATCAAAGTGAGAAATCAATAGCTGCTTAAGCAGCTGTTGTGTAATTTACTGAGAAGGATGAGTTATCGTTATTTGTAAGGAGAAGTCATTCCTACGATCTTGTGTCATATTTGATATTTTTGCACACGTTAGCCTAATTTTGAAAAGCTTCATGTTTTTCAGATGGAAGGAGTGCTCCAACAGGAACCAGTTAAGATACAGCGAAAGCATCAAGATTCTGAAGGAGATGAAAGACCTTTTTGATCGCTGACTTAGAACCTTGTAGCTCTTCAGAACAGAATGGACTTTTTTTTTTAGTTCCAATGAAACCAAGGTCTTTATTTAATTTTAATGTACCTGCTTTTTACACAGTCAGGCACATAGAGAAACATTAACAGAATTTTGGGTCCTAGATGACTTGAAACCCCCCCCCCCAACACACACACACAAATTTTTTACTGCCTTAACCCCCTTAAATTTAAAATATTTATGGCCATATCTAAGTTTAATGTAGTATTTCCAGACACAGTGACTTGGAACATTCTTATCAAAATTTAACCTTTTAAACTCAGGTTTACTTCCTTAATTTGGTGTGTTTCAGACAAATGAGCAGAAATGGGAACTTTTAAAGAAACGTATTTGTTTAAACTTCTTTCTTTTAAGAAATAAAGCCTCTATAGGAGAATAATATATCTCTGTTATAAAGCTGCCTGATATCACTGACAGTGCAGTCAGTAGTGTGGTAGAATAACATTCTTATACAGAATTAGTTCAGTGAAAAGCAAACGACTTGAGGTGTACGTGCATACCTACAAAGGTTTTCACTTCAACTGGTTACGGTCAAACACCGTCAAGTCATGTTGCAAGAGCTTCGGTGGAAGCGCACTTCGATTTTACAAAAAGATTTTACAACAAATTTTCTGTGCTTTTTTTTTTAAATTAGACACGAAAACGGATTTTATGAATGCATGAGAGATGATGCTAGTAGAGTGATATCCACAATAAATTATTTAAAAATTTGTAACTTGTTGGTTTATTACTTGTTTGGTGTGTCAAAACTCTACGTTTGCATTACTGCTCCATGTCTTAATCAAGTCTACTTTTGTGTAGCAACTTGTTGGTAAAACTGCTGACTTGATCATAATTGAAGTAACTTTAGTGCAGAGAACAAGAGGAACTGACTACTGTCAGTTTTACAGATTTGTGTAAAAACATTTGTTTCAATAGTAGCTGTGGTCCAGCCCCAAAACATACCGAGCAGGAACTCGTTGCGTGACAAATATGTCAACAAAGGTTTTGCACAAAGAGTTTGGAAAATCTTTTTGTTTAGGATTATTTTTGTTTGTTTTTAAGAAATTCTAGTTTTATTTAAAGGTAAAATTATATATTATCCTTGACTAAATTTGGCAGCTCTAGTTATGACTTAAAAACCAAATTATTTGTCATGCATTTAAAG